TTCTGCACCTTATGTTTTGCAGTTTATTTCTCAAATTAGATGTGAACAGTTTTCAAAGTCCCCAGAATATTTTATTTGTGTTTTTCTTTCTTTGTTTTGGTTTGATTTTTTTTTTGGCTGATTGGTTTCTTTGGAGTTTTTCTCTGTTTTTTTTTTTCTTTTTTTAAAAAAAACCTTGTGCAGGGAATGTTCATAAAGATCAGGAACCTCTGCCACGCTTTCCCTTTCAAATCTTCCGTCAGTTTTTCACTCAGCACCTCATTTTTCTTTGCTCAGGGTCTATTACAGCATTTCCCTGATGGCTGCAAATCCATAAAACCCCAGTGCTGGGAAGTATCGGAGCTTTGCTGACCAGAGTCACTCTCCAGAGGCAGAGGCTCATTCCTGGTGCTCCCAGCCATGTTTTCCTTTGGGATCACCAAAAGGGACTTCTTGGGAAGGAAATGGGTGTTGTGAAAGGACATCAAGACCAGGTTGGACCTGACTTGAAAAAACCTAGTCTGGTGGAAAGTGTCGGGGGGTGGAACTTTCTGAGCTTTGATGTCCCTTCCAACCCAACCCATTCCATAATTCCATGATTCCATGAAGATGCAGAAGGTTTACATCCACCAAGACATACTTTGCCATCACTGATCTCTCTCCACCCCACCTCAGCAGGAAGAAAAAGGGACATTTTGGTGCAGTTGCAGTTTGAGAGTTCCAACCCCAGTAGCTGCGGTTGTGTCCATGTGTTTCTCCAGGCACATTAAGGGAATCTGGGAGCTGACAGGGCTGAGCAGAGCTGTGGCCACAGCAAAGCAGCTGAGATGTTTATTCCTTGTTATACAAGGAAATATTGCCCCTGATAAAAACACTCTCTGGAATGATCCGTTTCATTTTTCCACCCTCTGCAGAGCTGAAATCCATTTCACTTTTCCTGCCTGTTATTTAGGGAATGTCAAGGAGGTGCTCCCAGTTCTATGGCTCTGCAGGGGGTTCCCTGATGAGGTTTTGACAGATTTAAGGGCACTTTTTGTATGGTTCAGCTCCGAACTGCACAGCAGGGACAGTTCCCTCACTCTGAACTGCTCTGAGTTGGGCTTTTATTTATGCTGAGTTTATTTTGGTATTGGCACATTTCATGTAAGGAATAAATTGCAAATTTAGGTACAAGTTTTTGTTGGATAAGGGAAGGTCCCCAAGTAAAGCTTTAGGACGTAGATCAGTAAATTCCCAGTGATATCAGCTTTGAGAGCAGTCAATAATTTTTATTTTGTTTTCAGTTACCTTAATTCAACACACTTTTATTTTAAGAGAAATTAATTAGGACATTAATTAAATAAAGTACCTTCACGTTACCAAAGCTTCTGTCAAACCCTTACACCACAACACTATATATTGAATTTACAGGATGATATTGTAATATTTGAGGATGAATGGGTGGAGCAAGTGTCCTCCACACTGGACTTGTTTCCTTGTGTTGGGTCTTGCTCTGCTTCATCAAGAGAAATTAAGAATTACAAAATTAAACTTTTGGACTCGAGTCTTGGATTTTTTTTCATACAGCTCCATTCTTTTGGCTCTGCACTGCCTGCTCCAGCTTCCTTAGGGAATGCCAAGATGTTGGAGACCTGGATTAATCTAAACCTCTGATGTTTTCAAAGAACTTATTAATTTTTGACTAAACAGTTTTTGAGTTCTGGACCTAAAGACAGAGTCTAATTGCCCCAGATATCCATGAGCCTGTAAATCCACTAAATAAATGTTTTGTTGGCAATAAGATGGTTTTAGTCTTAAGGCTTCGTGAAGAAAACTTTAAGACTGGAAAGAATCAGGTAGAGGGACTTATCTTTTTGAAGGGAAGGTGTTTATCAGCAGAGCTGCTTATCTTTTCAAGGAGCTGTGTTTGCTGTTTGAATGTGTTTTGCCATCAGTGCCACAGGATTTTTAGTGAACCTTCTATAAACAACCACTCAGCAATTCAAAACCTCTCTTTATTAAAAAGAAATCTTATTTTTTTGCATTCCTGCAGTAGAAATAGGAAAAAAGACACCAAATTCTCAGAGTGTCTTGGTTTTGAGCCTTTTATGGGTAGGCAAACATATGTGCTTGCCTAGATCAATAAAAGGGCTCACAACAGTAGCAAGAAGGTGTTTTAAAAGCTTCAAAAGTGTCTTTTAGAATGTTCAATCTGGCAAAGACCAGCCTGAGGAATGGGCCTGGTTTCAGTAAAGAATTTCCAGCTATTCCGAAATATTCATCTGGGTTTGGAATTTAAAGGCTTGAGTTATGGACTTCCAAAAGAATAATTGTCAGTGATAAGTAAAATCGGCAGAGGGTGTGATATGTGTTGAACCATGCTTGGAAACTGAATAATTTTGGAAGAAACTGAAAGAAGGCATTAAATTTTAATCTTTTGAAGAAAATTCTATTTCCTGCCCTGGCAGTTGAATGTTGAATGGGAACAATTAGTTATGGGATAAAATGAGCTTGACATGGAAAGAAAGGAGGCAGAGAAGGTGGCTGGTTTTCATTATTAAGACTAATTTTATTAAGTTTTGTATGGCAAACATCTGACTGAAGAAGGGATGAAAAACAGAAGTTTGGGAGATCAATAATTTGCATGTCCCAGACCATCAAGAGTTTGAGTGATAAAGAGAAAAAAAAGGGGGAGAGAGGAGGTAAAAAATCCAAAGACAAAGGCAGAGATTCAGGCCAGTGGGATGACACAGTTGGTACAATCATGGAATTCCGGAATGGTTTGGGTTGGGAGGGACTTCAAAGATCATTTAGTTCCAGCCCCATGGGCAGGGACACCGTCCACTATCCCAGGTTGCTCCAAGCCCCGTCCAGCCTGGCCTGGGACACTTCCAGGGATGGGGCAGCCACAGCTTCTCTGGACAACCTGTGCCAGGGCCTCCCCACCCTCACAGGGAGGAATTCCCTGCCAATATCCCACCTAAACCTCCTCTGTTTCTATTTGAAGCCTTTTCCCCTGAATTTGCTGTGAAAGGGAGTTTTTTTTTCCAAATGCTCTGGAAGGTCACTGGCAGGTGAGAACGTGCAATAAAACAGGGAAGCTGTTGGAAATGTTTGGTTCTGTTGGAAATTTTTGGCTTCTTTGTTGTAAAACAGTTTCTATGTGACAAGAACAGGGGGATGGAGCTTAAAACAACCTGGGCTAGTGGAAGATGTCCCTGCCCATGGCAGGGGGTGGAATGAGATGAGCTTTAAGGTCCCTTCCAACCCAAACCATTCCATGATTCCATGATAATGGGGTTGTTCAGTCACTCACAGTCATTGTGAACTTTATAGTTCAGAAATAAATGAGAAAAAACCCCACTGAAGACCTACAGGTAATGAATAGAGATGTGATGTGATCCCAGCAGCCTGGATCATTCAGTTCCAACACTAACACCGTAGGGTGGGAGAATTTTGCTCACTCCTGTAAAAACAAAGTGTAGCATCCTTTGCAGTTTGATGCCAACTGTATCCCAGAACACCCAAGATCTCATAAAATCCTGAGCACACCCCTGAGGTCATTTATTGGGGTCGCCTCTTCTTGCCTCCCACGCTCCCCAGAGAAATTGTGGTCCACCCCCTCTTCCATGGCCACCCACCCTCAGATCAGCTGAGAAATCAGACTATGGGAAGCAAAACCTTTGTTGGGAATGTTATTTTTGCTCTTTGTTCTCCTGCCTTCCTTTGAAAGGTTCCTTTTGTTCGCTGCGGGTCAAATGCTGTAGTTTAAAAATACATCCCTCATGGCACAAAGAAATTAAGTTAATATTAATTAATGTGCCTATTCTAGCTGAATGTCAAAAATGGCAGCGGGGACTTACTTGTCATTATTTACATACATGTATTTTATTCTGACCTGTGTGTCAAGAAGTAAATTAAAATTAATCTAAAGAGAAGCATGTTTTTAAGAAGCACTTTGAGATGGATCCACTATCCTTTGGTTTTGAAGCCTTTGGGAACTTAGGAACTGTAGGAACTTAGAATTAATTAGTAATTCTTAAATCTACACCTTCATATATGACACAAATGTAAACATTGTTCTAATAAATGGTCAACACTGAAATGCCTTTGGCTGTGAGAAGGAGTATCTTGGATTTGGGCCTGTTTATGCAGCAGTAAAATGTTACTGAGTGACATCCCTGTGCACTACTGATAGTGTCACTCTCATGTGACCTGTCAGTCTGTCCCAATTAGTCTTTGTCATAATCATTAACATAATTATGAATCCCAGAAGGCCAAGTGGGTTGAACACCTTGTGTGGGAATCCCTGTGTTCCATGTCCATGTGGCTGAAAGCAACTGGTACTAATGGACAAGTGTTTTGGGGGTTTTTTTAACAGTCTTTGGTGTTGGATCTGGTTTGGTTCAGGAGGTTACAGACACTGAATGACTGGGGTTTATATATATCTATATCTATATATCTATCTATATATGTAGGGTGTATTTTAGAACAATTTGGTTGCACTGGAAAAGATACATGGAGCCATTTTGGTTGTTATTATTATCTATAGTAATAAAACAATATAAAAGTAGCTGTTTTGGTTATTATCTTTAGAAATATAGGCATAAAAATAACACTTAGGAAAATGTATAAGGAAAAGAAAGGAAGAGAAAGGAAGGATAAGGGTAGAAAGATGTCACCACCGGGGGGTCCAGCTACGAGACCTGATCATTGCAATATCGGTGTCTGTTGGTCAAAGTCTTGATCCCTTGGGGTGGGGGAAGACCCCAAAACATGAAGTCCAGTGTGTTGATATGTGCTCAGGTTCAGGGGGGAGGTTTTACACTGATGGAACATGTGGGTCATTCACAGTCCTCTGGTGGAAGAGTCTGGACCTGCTGCTCTTGCAAATGGCCCCTTGTTGGAGCCATTCACCAGGAACATCCCAGCCTCTCACAGGGGCTCTGGGATGACCTAGTCTGAGGAGATGCCCCACTGGGGTCCCTTCCAGCCTGCCCCACCCTGGAATTCCGAGTTGTGACTCCCTGCTGTCCCCACAGGTGCTGCAGGGTGCTCAGCTCATCGCCGTGGCGTCGGCCGAGCCCGCGCCCGGGGGGGTGGATGGATCCCCACTCCAGGGAAGTGACATCCAGGTCCAGTATGTGCAACTCACACCGGTGACAGACCACTCTGCCACCAACCAGGTATGTCCAGGTCTCTATTTTCACCATCTGAATGTGCTTAACTCGAGTGAAATATCCATCACACGTCCTGTATATCTACCCACAAACAAGGACTTCATGATCCTTTCTCCAAGCCATAAAAAAATATCATTTCCATAATTTTTTTTAAAGATATAAATGGTCTTTTCCTGCTCCCTCTTCTGTGTTCCTTCTCAGTGCCTCTAGAGAACAGTTATTTCGGTCATCATTGTTTTCCTGTGCCCTTGAAGGCTAAAAGCCATTGCAAAGGACAGGGCAAGAAACGTGCCTGAATGCAGCCAAAAAGGATATTTTAGACTGAGGTTTCAGTTAAAAATGTTATACCCTTCCTGACAGCAGTTTTCCAGTTGTTTTGATCAACAGCCTGGATTTCCCACAGCATCTGTGAGTGAACACTTGATTCCCTCAGTTATGGTGGAGGAATTACCGGGTATTTTTGTCTTTTTAAATCAGTTTGAACAGTTGTGTGGCCAAGTCTAGAAAAAGCTTGTCATCAACTTGAAGCTTTGGTGACAACGCAAGAAAATTGACTTAGAACAGTTGTAGGAAGTTTTTCTGAAGATGGTCACGGGTTGTTTTGCAAATCCCTCTTCCTGGGCTTCTGTTCTGGAGGATGCCAAGTGCTTGTGGAATTTTTTTGCCTTCTGAAGATTTTATTCTTAGTCACTTGTAAGACTGCTCTGGACGCTGAGAGCGTTGCTACAGGGATTGTGCCTTATTTTTTATGAATCCTCCATCCCTGCTGGTCCTGTGCAATTAATAAATCATGGAGTCATGGAATATCAGGACTCACAAGGATCATGAAGCCAAATAAGTGAAGTACACAGGCAGCAGGTAGTGAGAGGTGTTTCTCCTGCTGCTGCTCTCACTCCAGACCTGGAAAATACTTAAATTTACCTCCCATGGAGCTTTCCTGGGTGTGTTCCTCGTGCTTGTCCTCTCAAATTTAGCAATTTGATAGATTTATTCACCACTTTGGCACGAATTTATTGAACAATTTAAGTTTAAGCAAACACCAAATTACTTTTCAAGTTGAACAGGGTAAAAGTCTTGTAGCCACGTGCAATAATTGACAACAAGGCAGAGATGGAGAGAAAGAATCTGAAAACAAATCTTAATTTAGGAGAAACACTTCATGATTTCGAGCCTCTGGTATTTTTATTTGAATAAATAAGTTGTGACTGTGTAGTAAAATCTGAAGGATGGGAAATCAGGAGTTTCCACCCATGTGGATCATCCTGCAGATCCAAGGCTGAGGGCAAAAAGCAGGACTTCCAATCAGACTGTTTTACAACAGAAATACTGTCAGAGATGTAATTCTGTATCCAGGGTGTTACATAAAGCAAATATTAGATGTGTTTATGGGGGGAAAATCCATCAAGAGCAGATCTCTGGAATGTGGGGCAGGAAAATCCAGAGAAATATCATTAAATCCTTGCCCTTTGCTTGGAGTTTTATCAGTGCTTGTGATCCTGGCTCTGTCAGGGGAAGGTTTCCTGGGTGTGAGGGGCTTTCTCCAAGCCAGTCCAGCTGTTCTTAAGTTTATCTTTCAGCTCCAAGGATAGAGTTTGTTTCAGCAGCTCCTTTTCCTTACTCCAAGTAACTTGGCTAAAAGGGATTTTGCAGTCGGATTATCCTTCCCCAGCATTGTCAGCCCACTGGGAGGAATTTAATTTTTAAGGAGACTTCCCTTGAAAGCTGAAATCAATTGTCTTTACTCTCAATTCTGTCATGAGGGCTGTTCTTCCTTGGGAAGTGAGGAAAATCAGGCCTGCAGGAAGGATTTTACTGGGGGAAAAGTTGACTGTTGTAGCTTTATTCTCATTTTACACAAAATAAACACAGACTGCAGTGGGTAAAATCAGCATTTTTAGACCATATCCTGCAGCAACTGAGAAATTCCAAGCACAAGGCCAAGAGGGAATTTTACTCTCCTTACCTTCAGCAGCTCTGTCATTCCAGGAATCCCTCCTGGCTCTTCCATAATCCCCTTGGTGGCCTTTTTACCCACAGTTCTGCCCAGCTCCATATTCCCAATGTCTCTCCATACCTTGAGCTGGGACCAGCCCTTCCACAGCTTCATGTTGTGCCAGACAGAGGGTTTATTTTCTTTATTTAGAGCTGGTTCTTTTTGGGGAAGAGAGGGGGAATAACTGTTTCCTATGTGCCACTCCTGATTGTGTAGATCTTTATCATAATTGCATTATTTCAGCCTTCTCCTTAGAGCCTGAAGGTCTATTTAGTCTTCAGAAGGACTCTTGATGTTATTTTTGGTGCCTTTGTAAGTGTGTTCCCATTCCCACTCCATCACAGAGCCGATATCCATGTGGATTTTGCACTGGGATTTTTCCACTGGTACATACAAGAACTTTCTATTCGTACAAGAAGTTCACATTCCCTTGGTTACACCAGTGAAAAGCACTTTTAGATTGATTTCTTGCTGTCCTGTTTCCCTTTGCAGGGCACTGACAGCCTTCAATCAGCAATCCAGCCAGAAATGCAGATAGAACACGGAGCAATCCAAATTCAGTGAGGGAACTGAGGAACTTTGGGAGCTGTTGGTGAACTACAGGCAGAAATGAAGTGCAAGAGGACAAAAATACCTCTTAAACCAATGGTCACACCTCAGACATCTCCAGCCATGGCCTGGTTGTCCTCACCTGGAATAATTCACACCCTTTTACTTCAGCTGGAGCTGCACCACAACAGCAGTGAAGATCTGACCTTCAGGAAAAAAATCAAGAGGAAAAAAAACAACCCTTGCAGAAAGACAGAAGGAGATTTAATGCATCCAAACTGTGAGACTCAATTCCTGCTCACCCATTTCTTCTGTGAAAAAGGCCCTTTGAATGTCTGCAGATACTTTAGGAGGTGTATTGCTGCTTTGCAATACTTGCTTTACCACATAGAGAAGTTCCAGAGCTCAGCTATTTTTCACTGTTTAAACAGCTTTTTTTTTATTTGCTATGGTGTTTATAACAAAAAATGGAAAATATTTAAAAAGAGGAAAATCCCATGACAGCAAGTATTGGCCTTTTGCTGGTGTTTTCTGTTCAGTGTAATGAAAACTGTACTTGCAGAAGACTAACAATTTTGTTTGTACTGTTGCTTAACTACTTTTCTAGGGGAAAAGGCTTTTAAATGCTGTAATTATGCATTTCTAATGGAAAATAAATGTGTATTTATGAATAGTGCAGCTCTAAGTTGCTCTGCCTTGGGATGAGGATGGTTTGGTGGCTGCAGGAGTGGAGTTCTGGAGGAGTTGATGCCACTTGCAAGCTCTGCTGGAAGTCACTTTAAGTCTCTAAGAAAGGTATCAATCTTAGATCGTTTTATTATCTAAATTTTCAGTGCAAGAAAAATGGGATAGTTAAGCTTTGAAGTCTGCAAATCGTATTTTATACAATGAATTTATGAAATTTATGGTAAATGTGAACGATTCTTCTGAGCTCTCTCCCTTTTAGTTCCTCTGCCTCCTTTGTCCAGCAGTGCCTCGATCTGGGATTCATCCATCCAAAAGTCTGAAATCCATCTTGTTGTTCACCATCCAGAGCAAGGTGAAACCCTCTCTCCTCTGAAACTTCTGGGAAATTTGATATTGATTTCAACAAAGCACCATTTCCCTATTTGCTAAGCTTGAGTAGAAAGGAAACCTGTTGCCTATAACCTGATTATTATTTAATGATTTTTTTAAAAAATACAGAGTTGACTGGGGAAGGTGTTCTTTGTATTTGATTTTAGCTGATTTCTATATGCTTATTGCCAGTATATGGCTCATAATGCATTTAATGTATTAATGAATGAGGCACAGCCACAAATTAGCCACAAATTCCATGTTGTTGAATTCAGGATAACTTGAATTTTTATTTTTTCTTATGAAAGGAAGGGTTAAGCACAGCCAGTTTTTGGGAATGTTGTCCCTGGGAAATGTTACACTTTATATAAATTCCTCCCTCTCTTTAGGATGTCTCTTGACTCAGGAGCACAATGCAAACTGAACCACAGCTTATGGAACACAGGGTTTGCACCAGGCCAAGAATTTGGCTGCTCTTCAGTTTCTTTTTATAAAAGTGTTTCTCAGTCTGGGGGATCTTTGACAAGCTTGGCATCCAAATAGAAGCCTAAAAATACGCAAGGCCTCTATACGCATTTTGAGGCCTCTCACGTTTTGCTGTGGCTGGTTAAACACAGAATCCTGGAATGGTTTGGGTTGGGAGGGACCATCCCATTCCACCCCCTGCCATGGGCAGGGACACCTTCTACTATCCCAGGTTGCTCCAAGCCCCGTCCAACCTGGCCTTGGACACTTCCAGGGATGGGGCAGCCACAGCTTCTCTGGGCAACCTGTGCCAGGGCCTCCCCACCCTCACAGGGGAAGAATTCCTTCCCAATATTCAGTCTAAACCTGTTTTCTTTCAAATCCATATTTTCTTTTAAATTCGTTCCCCTTGTCCTGTCAAGTCGAGGAGGAGAATTCTCCCCCTCTGCTCTGCTCTGTTTCATGGTACAACTAAGAATTCTGTTCTCTTTGCATTTTTCAGCTCAGGTACGAGATCAGATTGAGTTCAGGACATGAGATTGAGTTCAGGAGAGGTTCCCTTTAGCCACCAGACCTGCTGCAGGCTCAGCTTTCTTCTAAAACTGACTCTAAAGGTGTATGAAGTGGTGAAGTAGCTGATGTAGATCCCAGCAGAAGGAAATCTGCTCCAGTGTGGAATGGAGGGTGTCAAATCAATTGGAATAGGTAAGGAGAGCAGCTTAGTAAGATCCTCCACTGCATCCAGACTTCGAGGTCCTCAAAATGTGAATGTTCCTCCATGTTATGCCCATGTTTACAGGAGTCTGAGCTGTGTTTGTACTTCAAAGAAAAGAGTCTTCAGCACTGAGCCAGGTATTCCAATTCCAGGTAATCCCTGTCCCTCTTCCCTTTCTGTAGGTTCTATGTCCTTGTCCGGGGAGGAAATGTCTCAGAGAATGTTTGATGTGTTTTCTGGGTGTCACAGGGTGTTTCACCTACAAATAAGTCATTCCCAAAAAGAGTAATTCAGGAGTGAATTCCTTTTTGGGAAATAGTTGTGAATGGTCTGGGAGGTTCTGTGCAGGGTGAAGTTATGTCCACACAGAGTTTATAACACGAACATTTCCACAGAACACTAAGAAATCCTAAAAATATTGTAAGGTACCAAGTAATCAGCATCTCCCAGGGGTCTGAGGGTTTGCCTGGCTCTGAGTTCTGGCAGGTTGGTGTTGTTTGACCACAGATGTGGTTCTGTCCTTGAAGACAACTTTCAGTGGGTCAACTACAATTACACTCCCATTATGTCTCCTGTTACTCACAGCCTCTGCTTTGTCACTAATAAGGTTCTTTTCCCCTCAGCAAACCTTTCAAAATCCTCATTTTTAACTGTTCTTTTCCTCCTCGAGCTACTTTTGTCCAAGAGTGGTTGAGAACATATGACCAGGAGTCTTCAGGGAGACATTTCTTATAAGTTAGACTTGGATTGGCTGCGTGTTTTATTTTTAATTGATATTAATTCATCTTGTGACCTGCAGAATCCTGTTTTCATGGGGTTGATTTGGTTGAGTGCAGGAATATTTCTGTGTCCAGGCTTAGGGGAAGAAGAGCCTCTGGTTGCCTTACTTGGTCCTTGGATTCCACCTAAAAAGGTGAATTCTTGAGGGATTCCACAGTCCTGATTTAAAACTAATCAAAATATTACATTTTGGTGGATTGTACAGCCAGAAATTGGTCTAAAAAAAGTGAGGGAGTGGGTTTTTTCTTTCCTGGTTTTCTCTTGCTTTCATTCCTTGTTAGTTTTATGCATTTTGTCTTGCAAAACAAATCTATAAAAACCATCACCCTCCTGTGACCCAAATAAACTGGAATGTCTTCATTAGCTGCATTTTTAGGCATTTCAGTATTGACAGTGTGCCTGTAAAGGAAGGAATCGTGGCCAAAATGTTGCTCTGATGCTTGTCTCCCTCGTGGAGATCCTGGTGTGTGGATATTCTCTGGTGGCCCTGGATTTTATTATCCACTTCTATGGATGTAGAGTTGCATGTTAGAAAATACAGCGAGAAAACCAATACCTAAAAAAACTCACCCCCAAATCACTCCGTAATGTCCCTCTACACAAACTTCTGTTAGCAATCAGTATTCCTTCTGAATTCCTATTTATCCAGGCACTGCGAATTCTGACTAGAATTCAACCAGAACTGTTTCCCATTATCAGGAGTAAGAATGTTCCTTTCATTCCCGGCGATCCCAAAGCACTTCTGGAAGCTCTGCTGGTTTAGATGAGCCCTCAGCAGTCAAAGCTCATTTCCTGGGATGGAGCTGGAAATAAGGAAGTCATTCAGCTGGAATCATATTTGGGTAAACTGAGGTGGCTGTTTAATGTTCTGCTACAAACACACAGACCTGGGGTTGCTGCTGAACAAGGTTTGACTCATTTAAAGGGTGTTTTATACCCCCAAAATAGGAATATCAGCAGCAAGTGGAGGCAGGAGGAGCCGTGCAGAGCCCACAGGCACTTTGGCCAAGGCAGAGGGTCAACACTTCTCGTTCTAAAGGTGATTTTTAATCAAATCTTCTTCTTTCTCATGCTAAATTGGATGGAACTGGATGAAAACCTATTTTTCCCCATTTACAACCTCTCATACAAATTTTAATTCAAATCTCTCTGTTCGACTGTTTTGCCTGTTTTTAAACTTGGGTGAATTCAAAGTTTTCTCCTCTTTTCTTCCTCTTCAATTTTTCTAAATTTCCTTTTCGCAAAGGAAAAAAAGTCTTTTCATCATATTTTATAAAATTTTATATTTTGGGCAGAAAATATATCTTATATCTCTTTTAAAGGGGTTTAATTCATCAGTATGGAGTTTTTAATTAACCAGGAGGCTGGGAAAAGTTCTATATTTCTTCTGATCCCTCAGGTTAATAATCTGTGGGTTTGAATGTTTAATTGAACAGTCCAATCTCATCTCTGTCCATCATGTTGGGTTATGAGATTATATGTTATTTAATATTTTACTAAATAGTTTATTCCAGGTTTTTCCTATAAAACAGAACAACAAAAACCTGGATGGAAAACTGAGTTTAGTCAGACATGATTTTCTTTGTCCCTCACTGCTCCATGATCTGGGTATTTATGGTATTTAAAAATTAATGAAAATTATAAACATCCCCGTATTCCAGGCTGATTCTCTGCTTTTCTGAAGGAATCTTTGGGATTTCTATTTTCCAGATGCCCTGAGCTTTGTTTGCCAAGCAGGATCTGAGTACTGAAGCAAATACACTGAAATCAAAGGGACTTTACCCTTTTATTATTCCCACAGGGAAAACAGATCTGCTGGACTTATATTGCAAATAATTCAGATTTTAAATGAGGAACTATATGTTCAATTTACCACTGGCTTTCTGGGAAAAGCAGGAAAAAAATTGGGAGCTGCCCAGCACCATTTGAAAGGTGCATTTCAGCTTGCTTGATATATTTAGTTAGTTAGTTAGTTAGTTTTATATATATTATATAAAATTATATACTTAATCATATAATATATTTTATATATGATATATACACATATAATTTATATATACTATATTGTTTATATACATATTTATATATATCCTATATATCCCATATATGTTATATATACTATAGGTATTATATATTATACATTATAAATACTATGTTATAAATACTACATTTAGTATTTATAAATACTACATTTAGTATTTATAGCGTATATTACATCAATACAAATATATAGTTATTTAATATATACAATAAATATATCACATATTTTTATACAATAAATATTATCTATTTGTATATACATAATGTATACAATGCAAGTATTATATATATATATATATATATTTATTTATAAAACCCTTGGTCTGCTGGATTCTAAGTTGCACTTAACAGGAAAAATCAAGCCATTTTAGACCTTAACTTTGTGCACAGGAAGATGCTCTTTTACTGGGCTTAGTTACCAAAAATGCCCCAGTTGGAAAGTCAGTGTTTGCTGTTAATTAATAACATTTTCACTGAATAACCAGATTTTCCCTGCTGTTCCCTCGTGGCAGCAAAATGAAACCTCCTTTTGCCAGCGCCAGGTGAATCCCAGCAGCTGCTCCTGGGAATTCTGCTGACTCCCAGTTTAGGTTGACCAGGGCTAAACTCATTATTTGATGCCATTTCTCCCTAAAATTCCTGTCACAGACCTCTTGGGCTGGCCCTTCTCCACTCCTCCCAACTGGGAATGCTTTAATCAACCCCACTGGTGGGATTTGTGAGGCTCAGCTCCGTGTCCCATCCCGGAATGCCGTGCTCTCCTTGGATGCATGTGCCTTGCATAATTCCTGTTATTTAACAGCAATTTTATTACTCAATCCTCCTTCAACTCTCTTAATCCCCCTGCTCTAAAGGGCTCCTGCCTCCTCAGCAAAAGAAATTAAAAAAACCCCCAAATGTTCCTACAAGAGGAGTGAGGACTCCAGGGAAAAAAAGAGGAGCATTTTGGTGCTTTGGTCTGATTCCTCCTTTTCCACATGCTCAGGTTGCCTTTCCCTCCTCTCTGCAGTGAAACATGGTGGTTCCCAGGGAGAAGTTCACACAATAGTGCCAAAAATATCCCAGTTTATCCCAGGAACAGCAGCTCTGGAGGTAGGCAGGGGCAAGGGGGAGAATTTGCGTTATTTTCATCTTTTTTTAGTTTAAATTTTGTTTATGCCTTACTGTGTTTTTAAATAGTTTGTAAACGTCTGGGGGGATTTACATCTGGTTTGGATCGTGCCTGAAATTCCTCTGAGTTTCGTTAAACTGACCATTAGAATGAAAGCAGGAGCTTCTCTGGCAGGTTCTGTCTCAGAATTTTAGAAAAATAAATAGTAATTTTAGAAAAATAAATAGTCCATCTCCACACTTTCCCCCTCTGACATTTTCCTACATTGTCATGGGAATTTTCTTGTGTGGCAAAGGGCTGAGTGCACCTTGGTATGAGTGAAAAGAATAATTTCCTTTTGTTTCCCTTTTCATAAAAGGTGGAAGGCATTCATTTTTCTGCCAGAAAATCAACTTTGTAGGAATATTCCCTTAGAAAACTTGGAATGTCTTTGCATGGAGTGACAGTTTTCCTGCTGAATCTTTGAGCAAATGCAGCTGACTTGGCACTCATAAAACCTCATGGATACTGAGTGGCTGAACATTTTGAGGCAGGTATTCTGTGTGTGGTTTTGCTTTTATTTTGGGTTTTTCCTGTGTTATTCCCAGTGTGGAGCTGGGAATCCCAGCTCTATGCTGCACAGAAAGGAGCCTGGAAAAAGTGTGTCCTTGGATTTGAGCTGCCTCAGGCTCTTGGCTCTAAATCTCTGATCAATGTGCAGGTTTGGGTAAGTCGAGGGTAAGGTTTAAAAGCCCTGGATTGGACTCTTGGGCAGAAAACACTGGCTGGGAAAGAGCTTCAGTTTGGGCAAGGGGGGAATTGCAGGAACGTTAAGCCAGTAAATCCAGGTGGGAAAATGTGGCACAGAGTTTGATGGTGTGTGGAGGAGGATTGATGACCAAGCCAAGCATTGAGTGGTGGATTCTTCACCTTTAGGTACCTTCTGCTCCTGACTGGCCCCAAATGCAGCCCCACGTGCCTTGGGACAGGAATGGGAATGTGCTGGGATCTGTGGAAGCCTGGCACACTGTGATAGGAGTGCAGGGGTTATCCCAGGGGATGCCCCTGGTTCCCACAGTCTGCAGCTTCACCAGGTTCCCAG